ATTTCCTACTTAATATTCCAGTTAAATTATACTTAATGTAATTTAAGAGAAAACATATTAGGGTTTAAGTAAGGCTTCTTTTCTTTCAAATTAAATGATTCAAAACGTAGGACATGCTGACACCACTATAAATTCTACACTCAGCTCATCTACCAATGTTGTACGCACCTGGCTCAGCATTTAACCGGCAGCTGTTGAGGAATTCCGCAGAGAAATATATATCGACATCACAGAAAAACATCAAGACCTCGCCCTTGTCCCAAGCTCGCGCACCCACATTCAGTCCTCGTCCACGATTAAATTCTTCATTCAATGAGACCAAGGTGTAGTTGTGAAAATTAGACTCACTATGAGGAAAGCACATACAAAAAATGGTAAGTCCCGTTTAAAGTTAACTCTCTTCCTTCAACGCAACTTACAAAATATCTTTTGCACTTCAAATATTTTATTATGTTGGTTCTACATTCACACAGGGCAAGAGAATGATCAGCTTCACGAGTATGATCATCAGGTACAGATATTCACTGCATGCTCACATCTGAGGCAGTATGCTGGTGGTGTGAAGTTCAAAAAGTGTTTGGAAGTGGCCACTACCCTTTGGGATCTTAAAAACCTATTGGGGAGATAAGAAATACACACATGGAAAAATAGCCATAATGTCTGGTAAGAAAATAATGCACCTAAATGAATGACACACACACAGAATGCTCTTCTCTCAAAAAGCATCATTTGGATCTCTGCACAAATGGCCCTTATCAGAGGGATCCACCCTGACACCACATGTGGAGTAGCTCCGACTTCCCTCTCTTTAATCTCTACCCTCTTCCCCGGCTGTTTTCCTTAGCACTACCAGACATATGTGTTCGAGTGTCTCCCTAACTCCATGACAGCAGGTATCTTGTTTTGTTCATTAGTATAGACACAGGGTCCCTCTCATAGGAGTTCAATAAATATTAGCTGAATGAATGAATGAATAGCATTCTGAGAAACGAGACTGCTTCTATCCAGAGTACTTAGAGAAGATGTTGGAACTGGAACTTGAGTTACACCATGGTTAAAATGCTGAATTCAGTGACAAGTGCAAAGGTCATTTTAAATCATTATTCTCAAAGGCAAAGTGTTGAGAAAGCAGAAAGCATTTTAGAGAACAAAGCTCAGAAAAATCAGATTAGAATAAAAGGACCCTAAAATGGGAACAATGAGAGAAGGGTCAGACTGAGGAGTACCTTCTTCCATGCAAGGTTAAAGAACTGGGTCAGCATCCTAAAGGCAAGGAGTGTCAGCAGGGTTTTTCTGCTAGGGCAGTGGTTCTCTAACCCAGAGCATCGACTTCCCCTGGCAATGTGCTGGAGACGAAATTCTCAGGCTCCACCTCAGACCCATTGATTCAGATGCCAGGGGTGGAGCTGCGCATTTAAATTTTAGTAAGTCCTCCAGGTGACTCTGACAATAATGCTGGAGAACAACTCACTGCACTAGGGTACAGCCAAATAAAAAAAGTTAACATTTAGGAAGATTACTCTTGCAGTAGTACAGAACAGGTAAGGGAGAGTGGAAGCAAAGGCTCAAATTGCACGATGGACTCCAAGCGCTCTGAGTGTCTAATACTCACCTCCCCATCCTATGGGATACAAATCTCTCCCTTCTTATGGAGGCACTGACCATTACCACCTCACATCCCCAGCACCAAGGGGAGGCACTGATCACAGAATGCCCCTCACTTTCTACCCATCCCAACCACAATAATTTCCTGGGGGTGGGGACCAGGCTTAAACTGGGCCAATCCCAATACCCCCCACCCAACCTGGCCATAGTGATTGGCTCAAGAGTGGGCAAAATGTCCTTCCCTGGGATTTTCTCAACTGGAGCTGGGAGAAAGCTCTTTCCTCTCTGATGGCAAAGCTGAGAAGATGTGAGCCCAGAGCCGCCAACAGTCATATCCCTCACCATTGGAGGAAGCCAATCTGCAACAGGAGAATGATGTCAACATGCAGAGAAAAACAGACAAGAGAATGTTGATGGTATTCAAGTCTCTGGTTCCAGTCCCTGAGACGCCAAGGTTGCTTTGATTTTCTTCCCCAAATTTGGTTGTAACGATCCCTTTATTTCTGGTAGGTATCCAGGATTCTTCAATACTGCTCCTGTTTCCTTAAGCACGCTAAAGGCAGGATTGCACCATTTGCCACAGAGGACAATAGAGGGACAACTTCAGTAATAACTAGTGTGAGCACTTGGCATGTAGTAGGTGATCTGAAGGAAGGAAGAGAGGAGGGGAAGAAATGGAGTGAGGGGGAACCAGGGTTAGGACGGTGGCAGCAGCAAAGAGGGGACAGAGAAGAGGTCCTGTGAAGTAAGTAGGAACTGACTAATTAGAGGTAATTTGAGGCAAAGAAGGAGTAAAAGACTCTGGCTCTCAGATGTCAAGTCCAGGGGACTGTGAAAATGGTCTTACTCTGAAGTGAAAGAGGGCTGTCAGGAGGAGCTGGTGTAGGGAAGGGGAAGAGATGAGTCATGTTTACACACGTCAGGGCTGTGAGGGTCCCCGCAGGGCAGAAACTGAGACCGCTCAGCTATGCCCAGTCTTCTTCCAACTACCCTAGTCAGACTCCCAAGCAGTGTACCTGGAACACAGCAGGTAGGACTCAATGAATGTTAGTTGAACGATTCAAGAAGAATGGCTGGCCAAATCTGGACTCTTAGGGAATGGCTACAACTAGCAGAAAGGTAAAGAACTAAAGGACACAGAGTTGGTGTGGTTAGAGAAGACAATTAACCCAATAATTTACATTACATCATACTTACATTTACAGAATATTTACATTTTGTAAACATAGCATTTTAAGATGAAAGTACTGGTTAGGTTGTCAACGTAAAAAAGCAATTAAAGAGGATAACAGAGAAAAGGCTGAATTTGGCAGTTAGGTTGTACCTTTGGGCCCATCTTTTTGAGAGGAAAAGGCTGAGAAACTAAAGAATTAATAATTAAGTATGGAGGAATTACTAATTCATTCATTCAAACCTCTGAGCACCTACGAGGTGCCAGGTACTATATGAGTTGCTTAGTTACAGAGCTACTATTCTGTGAGGTTTATCTGTGAAGGGACAGAAACATAACAGTAGCTATTGGGTACTGCAGAATCAGGGGGTTTCTTAAGGATATGGGAGACCTAAGCACTGTTTATAGGGGAAGAAGAAGGAGCCTGAGGAAATGGAAGGAAAGAAAGGTGACAAGCAAGAGATAAGCTCAGGAGATGATGATATCAAAGCGAAGGGATTCAATTTAGAAAAAGGGAAAGAAGCAAATATATAGAACGTGAATGAGCCATAGAGGGAGAGCGTCTTAATCGTGCCAGACTGCCTGCTAAGCGGTGAAGGGAAGTTGAGTCATGTAGGATTGCATGTGAAATGAGGAACTTAGTATCACCACCATTACCCACATGTTCAGACAACTTTTAATCAGTAGTTATTCAAAATTATTAACTTGTTTAAGTATCTGAAATTCTCACTCTTCTAGTACTGTGTGTGTATATATATATATAAATTAAAGGACTTCACTGTGGACATGGCTCACCAACCTTGTGACAGATTCTAGGATAGACTTGACTTTAGACAGTCCTTCTTTACCAAAATACACCACTGTGAGATGAATCCTCTTGTCCTGATGAATACAAACATCCCTAACAGAATTGAGAAATAAAGTTCGTTCAAGAAAATATATGAGGCATTACTCATTCAAAAAGCAATTAAATGAAGCTTTAACAACAACAAAAAATGAGGCATTACTGATACAGAATGAAGTCACATGAAGTAAACATAAGAGTGGCCATATTTCTGAATTACTGAGGGCACCATGCAAAGGCACAAAGTTTATGCCTGAATGAGTACACTCCTTGGAGGGTCATGGAAGCAGTTCAACATTGTTGCCATATTTCAAAACATTTTTGGAACATTTGCATTGGGATTGCTCTCAGATGGAAATTATTAACAAAAGATATTCAAGGAAATAAATTCAATCAGTTCACAGCCAAATAAATAATATTCAAGTTTTGGATCAAGCATTATTTTGTCCTCAGACTGGCTAATTCCAAAAATTATACCTACCATTAAGGAATAAGTATCAGCCATGACTGAGATTACTTACTGTAAAGAATAATGTGCCAAAAAAAAAAAAAAAAAAA